ACATTTAGATGTAAAAGAAATGGTTTCAAGTCTGATTCTTACTCACACGTGTTGATAACCTTCAAAGCTGGATCCCACAGATGCTCAAAGGCTCAGAAAAGGTCAATTTCATGAAACTAGGGTGAACCCTGAATCAAAGCGTCGTTCGACCTTGTACCTATGGCTACAACCATGACCATCACACAGCAGCCAAAACCTAGTGATACGCACTAAAAATGACATTCAGCTAGGATGAGTTTATTGGGTGCCTGGACCACTAAGCTTCATAAGTTAGTTGTATTCAAAGCAAAAACCAGACACACAGCATACTTTGTCTTGCTTGATAGTATCACTTCCCACAAATGGCCCATTACGGGTGAATCTGACCTGGAAGAGAAAAGAGAGTAATGCATTTTCAATCAAGTGAAAAATACTTGGAACCGATTGAGTAGTTATCGTTTCCGAAAAAGTTTGGTGCTGGGGTTCACATAGGACAAACTGCCAGGGAACTGCACACCAGAAGTGGTTAACAAAAAAAAAGGATAAACAAATCACCAAGGAATGCAGAAGACTCAGCGATGGCGGTACATGCCTTAGACACGAGACATTGAATAGATCTGGAGAATGTGGAAGTTTTAAGATGGGGACTGCGATTCACACCACAGCTGCTCATAGCCGATGCGGTGAAAAATACTAAGCATCACAGCGTGAATTGAATCGAGGGTGTGGGGCTGGCGAGCGTATGGAAAGCGGTCTTAGATAAGCCAAGTTGACACGTGACTGTGTGGTTGTCAATCCACGTAGAATCATTAGCAAAAACTGGGGGATGGGGGTGAAAAACCCAGCCCGACCAAAGGTCACAGCATCCCTCTTACACAACTATCTTAGCACTAGCTCATCCACACAGACGGACAAAAGGTTCAACAGAGACCATCAAATGAACCAGACCCTAGGCTGGATCCAACACTTGTTCACCCACCCTAACAGACAAAAATCCCTCGGCCGACACCCAACAGAAATTTAGCTTGGCGTAGCTGATTGGTTCTCCTTCCGCCTTAAATCTCGACCAACCTCGGAACCTAGTCACTTAGCCTGACGAAGCTTTTGTGTCAAAAGCGAAACGCAGCCCAGCAGTAAATCAACCGATTGTCACCAAACTTTTTCGAAAAAGAGTTATGCATTATTTTGACGTCAAATGATACCCCCTGGTCGAAATACCGTTTAGAGATGTCAAATTAGTTGGTGACGGTAATAAAACAGACGGGCAGACTTATCTATCTTGCCTGAACTAATCGACCACAGTTGTTTGTACTGACTCACCCCGAACTGGTAGGCAACTGGCACACGCGTGAACATTTCCTGAGTGCTTACCACATAAGATTGTGAAGAAACCAAACATTAGATGAAGGTTAAAAAAATACGTGAATGGGGAGGAACCTTGTCAACGTTTCTGACCGCCTACCGATTCAATCCGTTCGTCAGAGGAGTTATAAATAGGCATTTTTATTCTTTTCGGCACACAATACTCTTGGTCTGCCCGTACGTAACCATTCTGGATAATCAAACGGTGATAAATGTCAAGCTGAACTGTGTGGGTGACTAACATAGGATGTATGATAAAGACTCGTCTTAGTCAGAAGCGGACCCTTTTTTGACATTAGAACTTGGTTCACTGATCACTAGAACCGTTCTCTAATTGTGTGAGGCCAGAAAACTCTAGGAGTGAAGTGAACAGTATACGACATATCAGGATTGACATCCGTGAATTCCGTTTCGCCTTGAGATAAGCAGTCAGCTTTACTGGAATCGATTGGACAACCCAATTCCCGAAGACGAAAGTCATTTCACTACGGACTACGAAGGATATTTATCATACAGATGTGGCATGCCAAGTCACTATCCACCGAGAAAGGTCGTGTTTTCGCTGAGCTTATGAAGTGACATGTAGCCTGATAAGTGGCGTTCGCGTAGCGGGAGTGATTCAATGTAGCCTGATAAGTGGCGTTCGCGTAGCAGGAGTGGTTCAGTGAGCTCCTGCGCTCGGTTGTAGCCCGGTCACACGTGAATGATGTGCTCAGTGCCAGTTTTTATCAAACTTGTCTGAGTGTCGGCTTCGAAATACGGGAATGTCGGAGTTGAACAGCTCGCCAAGAAATTCATACAGACTATTCATTCTTGATGGGTATGAGAGAGTAGATCGCAAATTCCTACGGATGTTATAGCGCAGAAAGTGCTTTCGCTCAACAGGTGTGTTGATATTCCCCAGCAAAACAACATCTATGTTGTACGCTAAACTGTCTTTCCTGTGAGAAAAGTATGTCATCCTTTAACACACTGCCAACGTCACATTCAGTGGCAATCAAGCCCTTATTCTCTTACGTGTCCCCTCTGATCAGAATGTACAGTGTGAAATGCCTGAGTGTGACCCTATCAAGTGACTTTTGCTAGCCTACTCATAACAAAGCTGTCCGCAATAGGGCTCGACGTCCAGCATTTTATACTATGAAGCTAAGAACAGTTTCTGCTGTCGATAAGGACGATGTTGGTAATTTGTTGAAATATTGGTAGCTCGGGTGAGTTTATTCGTTGTTGACCAGGTGGCTGTTGATCTGTTCGCCGAGCTTGGCAATTGGCTTGCAAACGTTTCGTCACCATACGAGGAGACATCATCAGTGCGCAGTTGAGTGGGTACTTCGTCCTTGCCTGCGTGCGCTTATATAGCATTCGAGGGCTATCTGTTATCTTCTGACGTGATTGGCTACTTAAAGTGTAACAAATTTGGTGAATCTATTGGTCCATTTGTGATCTTTGTTGCGTTGTGGTCTGCGTTCCTTTGTGTCGATTGGTTATCCTCACGCCTTCTATTTTAGTAGTTCGTTCTCTCCGGCCTCGGGTTGTATTGCGTTGTGGTCTGACGTTCTTGAGTTTGATTGGTTGCTTGTGCCGCCCTATTTCCTCCACCGTAGCGGTCAGCGTCCCTTCGTCCGTCGGTTGATTTGGTGCTTTGATTGGGCGCTTCCTCCAATCCAATTGATGTGTCCGTTTGAATGATGTTTTCCTCCTTCTCTTATGATTTCCTCGTCTGGTTGATTTTGCAGCTTTAAG